ATATCCTCATTAATCAGTATTTCTATGCTTGCCACACTATATTCAAGACTCATTTGCTAAATATTACCTTTGTATTATCTATAATAAGAATTATTACTATTTAAACCAATAGTTTTAGCACCAATTCTTTTAACTTTTTCATTCCTTAATTGTTGAAATCATGCCTAGAGAAAATCATATCACCAAAGCTGTTTACCTTACTTGCTCCAGTTACAAAGATCTTTTCTGGAAAACTATAGTAATACTTCAAGAAAGGGTTAAAATTTTGAAGCATTTGGCATATTGTGAAGAAAGGTCCAAAATCTTGGAAGAAGAAGTTATCAAGTTAAAAGCAGACTTGAAAATACTTTCTAATGCTCGCTCCCTTCACTGTCATAATAGAAAGTTAGAGTTGGAAAATTTAAATTTGAAAAATAGGATGGCTCAATTAAAAGGACTTCTCTAACTATTAGGAACTTCAGCTTTAGCTTCTTTTGATAGGTTTTTTTCCACCTTTGAATTCAATTAGAGGTTTGCTTTCCTTCCTATTGGTTTCAAGTTTTTCCTCTTATTATTTGTGAATTCATTATGGAAAATGCAGTAGTTACTGATTATGCTTTATAGGCCAGCTATAATAGATAGAGAGTACTCTGTGGGCCACTTCCATTATACTGTATTTTTCGCTTGTTTCTTTTAGTGCTTTTAGATTCCTTCTTCTATTCAAGAGTTCAATGATGCTTGTGTTTGGATAAGTTGAGAACTGGCTACCATAGTATCTATGTCCCTGTCATATAGCCTGGATATTGTAATCCATACAATAGTTAAAGGATACCCTTCACTTTTCAATATTTCAAAAAGAATGTAAAAATAAGAAATTATTCATGTAATTATAAGGCATAATAATAATAAAGAAATAAAAATAAAAGTAAAATAATAAAACCCATCCAAATAATTATTCAAAAATTGTTTATATAAATTATATAATTTGGATACTATAGCCTCAAACATCAATCTGCTCCAAAGATAATATTATCTAGGGTGCTATGGCTAACTAGCCTTAACTGGCATATGCTATAGATTCCTATCTCTAGGAATTAAAATCGTCTACAGCTATATTTGGATCCAATATTATTTATTCACATAAACTACAAGAAATAAAAGATCAAAAAAATAATAGGTATTTTTAACTATATGTTTAATTTCAAAAATAAGAACCATTATACTAATAAAAATAAAAATAAAATACTTTTTTTTATTCAAAAATTTTCTCTGATTTTTCTTATTTTTTTGAGTTTTTTTTAAAATAAAGTAAAAATAGAAAAAATAAAAATAAAAGTATCGATCAATTGGGTAGAAATAAGAAGATAATTGATAATCAATTGATTGTAGAAATTAAAAGTCAAAGCTAAATACGATAAACTAATCTAATGTCATCATTAAATAAATTCTAAACTATACATAAACTAATACTATCTCATTTTCCTTTTTATTCCACTTTTCTATTCATCCGTTCCATTTTTTTTTCATAATTTTCCTTTCCTTCCTTACTTGCGAGTATTACAAGTGATTATCAAGCTTTGATAAGTATCAGCACGCATGTTCTTAATCATGCTGATTATTATGTACAATGTTCAATATATTTGGTCAACATCTTGTTTTTCAAACAAGTGGAAGATGTATATACATCCAGTTTGATAATGTCATGATAGCACCTTCCACGACACTTTTTCTTATTGAGATTCAATTATGTTTGTAATAACTTTACCAATATAAAAGATATATACAAGCACATCTATCTATTGTCTTAATTGCTGCACCCTTTTCATCCGCCTATATAAGATCGATATGTCTGTCATTATGTCTTAACTCTCTAATGGAATTGTGATAAAGTATTTACATTATTAGGCTCAGTTGTTAATAAGTCTGTAGTAACTAAGGTAAGGTCGATATTTATCATGTTTATTTTTCCTTTCTCCTTTTTTTTTGTTTATTCCTACTTATACTCCATATCTTTCATTCCTATAGTGATATAATTGGCTTACAGCATCAAACTTGTTATTACTAATATTCTATCAGCTCTTTATATTTTTTTAACAGCTGTTGGTTGATTGGTTTCTTTAACACTTTTCTATCTGTTATATGTAATCGATATACTGTATAATATTCAATTTGAGCTCATATACATAAAATGGCCTTACATATTTTGGATCTAGTTTATTACTTTGTAAGCTTTCTTGAGATACCTTATATATTAATATCTTGTTTTCAATACCAAACTTTTTTTATCCTGTAGCCTTTGATTATGTTACATTTTTAGTTTTTGCTAAGCAGCATTTACTCATGCCACTGTATTCTCCCATTGCTGCGGCAGTATTTCCATTAGATCAAAAACTTGTTGAAGTATTGTTCCCTCTAATAACTCATTCATTTCCGTAGGGTGGATCAAGGTTTGTGCTTCTCTTCCATACACAAGGTAAAATGGTGTCATCTTAATTGTCTCCTGCTGTGTCATTCGATATGCGAATAGAGCAGAAGATATCATTAAATCCCAATCAGTTATATCATTTATCAGCTTCACAATAGACTCACGTAATATGCAATTATACCACTCTACTAATCCATTCGTCTGTGGGTGGTATGGCATAGAGTATAAATAATTGATATGAAATTTCTTCAAAAATGCATTTAACATTTGACTTCTAAAATTTGCTCCTTGGTCAAATAACAGGTAAGTTGGACAACTGTATCAGCATATCAAATTGTTATAGACAAATTCTGCAATATTTTGTGCTGTTGCTTCTTTTAGGGCCTGAGTCTCTGACCATTTTGTTAAATAGTCTGTAGTGACTATTATATATTAATTCTTCCTGGGGGTAACGAATAAGGGTTCCATGATATCAATTCTCACTTTTGAGAAGAGCTTTCCAATAGATATAAGGTGTAGGGATCCACGTTGCCTATTCTTTTTTCTTCTTTGACATTAGTCGCAGAAGCGTATGTATGTCCAAATATTCTTGTACAACTGTGGCCAATAATACAAACTCCTAATTTTATAAAACATTATATCTTTTCTTAAATGTCCACCGAGTGGATGGTTATGTACCAGGTATAGTATCAGTCCTGGTTCATGGCATTTTAATACTTTTAGTAAATTTTCTTGCTTATGCTTGTCCTTTTTATAGACAAATCCCCCTTTTATAACAAAGAACTTGCTCTGTGCCTGTATCCATCTTTTTTGTTGTTGCGAGCAATCCTTAAGTAACCACCGTTCTTGAAGATAATTCTTTAATTGTCTATATTGTTCCTCTTCCATTATTCGTACAAACCTTAGGTATCTATATCCTAGTTAGTGTCTATTTTCTAGTTAGTGTTTATTTCCTAGTTAGTTAATTCTCTTTTGCCAGGACATCAGAACTTGGGCTGGATTCTGATCCTCAGATTTTTAAGATTAGTATTTATTCTCTTTTACTGTTTCAGTGATTGCTTGTTATATTGCGTCATTACTGTCGTATAGTTATCATTTTGTTATTGCTTCACATCAGATGTTATGGGTTAGTAAGTAGGAGTTGTCTTTTGAGTTGTCACATTGATAGGATGAATTTATTATTCGTTTGCAGTGGTTGGGTTTTTTATCACTAGCACTACTTCCCCCTTTTCTTTCAGGTAGATGTGATAGGACATCGGCATTTAAATGTTTTTTCCTGGCACAATATAATATTGTATAGTTATTTAGTTGAAGGTAGAGAATTCATCATGCCCTTCTACCTTTCAACTTTGAATTCTCTAGCCATCTTAATGCAGCATAATTGGTAATCACTATAAACGATTTCATGTCCAGATAGTGATGGAAGTACTCAACTCCCCATATTACCACCAAGCATTCCTACTCCATTGTTACATAATTTTGCTTAGCTTTCAACAAACTCCTGCTGGCATATGCAATCACATATTCCTTTTTTGTTTCATCTATTTGTATCAGCACTGCTCCCAGTTCCATTCTGGATATGTCGGTGTGTAAATAAAATATCCTCTCAAAATCTGGGTACCACAGAATCGGGGTTGTTGTCAGGTATGTTTTTAGTAACTTGAATGCCATCTGCTGTTTATCTCCTTATTCATATAATATATTTTTTTCCAACAATTGGTATAGGGCCTTGGCAATTGTAGCAAACTCACGAATAAACTTCCTGTAGTATATGGCAAGACCAATGAAAATTCACAGCTGTTTCATACTTCCTGGGACTGAAAAATTTCTTACTTTTATGATTTTATTTTTGTCAGGCTAAATGCCATTCCTTCTTACTATGTGCTCCAAGAATTCTATTTCTGGTAAGAAGAACTTGTATTTTTCTGCATTCAGTTTTAGCGAAGCCTGTCTCAACTCTTTAAAAATACAAGTCAAGTGATAAATATGTTTTGGGAATGTCAGCAAGTACACAATAATGTTGTTCAAATATATAGCTACAAATTTTTCAATATAGTTATATAGTACTCGGTTCATCAACCTTTGAAATGTAGCTGGGGCATTGCATAGCCCAAATGGCATCACCTGAAACTTATATGTTTCAAATTTAGTTACAAAGGCTGTTTTTTTGTGATATCTTTCATAAACTTGAACTTGCCAGTATCCGCTAGCTAGATCGAGATTTGAAAATCACGTTACTTTTTCAAGAGCTTCGATTAAGTCACCAATCCTTGGTAAAAGATAAGTGTTCTTTTTCATTACTGCGTTTAGTTTTCTATAATTCATATATAGATATTGCTTATTGTTCTTCTTTGACACTATTATGATCGGAGAAGTCCATGAGCTTCTAGATTCTATAACAGGTTCCTACTTCTTCATCTTTATAAGTTATCCCTTATGTAGTTATATTCATCAGGAGCCATTCTGTAGGAGGCTTGCTTTATAGGTTTTGTCTCACCAATATCGATTTTGTGCTGGATCATGTTAGTCTGGTAAGCTCCTTCAAATTTCTTGCAAATAGTTTTTTCTTCGTCTCAAAGAGTTTCATTACTTCTCCTCATTTTTTCTTTATTAGGTTTTCCATATCCATTTTTGATTCTCCAATAGTGAACTCCTTCTTTTCTTTTAGTGTCAGTACTTCCTTCAGGATGGTTAAATAAATAATAGAATTAAAAATCTCCATTTTCTCGATTTTTACCTCCAATGAGAGTACTTTTTCCCAATTAATAGTTTCTTCCACCACACACTTCTGATCAGTGGTCTCCTCCCTTAATTGCTTCCCAGTATAGTAGCTTTTTTCTTTTTCCACTTTCTTGTTTTTATACTCAAATTCACCATACATGCCTCCACTCTTATAGTTACTTGACTCCGGTTCATCTGGCTATACCAACCCTTCAACACTATTGTATAAGATGGGTACCTCTAACTCCTTCTCTTGATATTTTAAAAATTTTCTTTGTTCATTAAAATGGATTTGTGCTTTTACCTTTTGGAACCAATCGGTCCCCAGCAAGAGTGTTTTGTCTCGTGACTTAATTACTTGTAGTTTTACAGAAATAGTTACCCCTTGGATTGTAATACCCATATTCTTTATTTTTTCTAAAGTTCTCTCTCTCATATTATTTGCTATGATAACAACCAAAGTAGATTTCTCATTGATTGTTAGACAAAGCTTATCTGCTAATTTTTTTGTGATTATACTCACTGTTGCTCCTGTATCTAGGACGGCTACTACCATTTATCTCCTACTCATACATAATATTTGGTAGCAATTGTCCTTAAAGTGTATACTGTGCTTATCTGATTGGTCTCTTTTAGTGGTTTAGCTCTCTTTATTATCTTCGAGAGGTTCTGTCTTTGATCTGGGTATTTTAGTAACTATACATATATAACGTTCGCTCTCATCAATAAGATATCTTTCGAGATATCATACGGTTTTAAGAAATCCACAATTGAAGGCAGCCTCTTTCATATTGATTTTTTTGTAACACCAGTTGTTTTAGGGGATTTCACAATTACCATTGGTTCCTGTATTCTTATAAGTTTTGTTGCTTTTGGGGGCTCACCCATACACTCTTTATCTTGACAAGATGGTGTTTCTCTTTTTTTTACAACTTGTGAGGTATCAAGTTAGAAGATAAAACAATATTAATTAAATTGCAATACATATTAAGAGTTTAAAATCTAATATTATATAAAGTTTATCAATTATTGGTAGTTGATTTATTAGTTGGCTTATAACAATATATATAATGTATATATTATATTTTGAATTTAACAATAAACACAAGATTAAAAAAAAAATAATTTAATTAAAAAATAAATAATTTTATTAAAATAGTAAAAAATCTATTAAATATTAAGAAAAAACTTGAAAATTTGATAAAACTGGAAAAAAAATTTTATTTGACCTATATTAAGTAATAAAACAAAATAAAATAGTATATTTAATATGCTTAACTATCATTTAAAAGAATTGACATTTTAAAATAATAATTTACAAAGTTTATAATAAACAAATAAATAATGAACAAAAATCATAAATTTAATTAATTTATTGTTGATGTGATAGCTATTTTTTTTTTAAAAAAAAATTTCTTCGCATAATGTCTCAACTCATCTATCTAAGCAGGCCAAAATATATACAGTATTGTAACGGGGGAGAAATGATACGCGACTTCCGTCACGTGACCGATCGACGCGATATTGACGCGGCTGTAATTATTCGGAAAAGAATTACAGTATGTAATCTAGCTTTAGCCTTGTCATTATATCATCATCTATTATTCTATGTTCCAGCCGCCATAGCCAAGTGTAAAAGAAGAAGGTATAAGTGACATGTAAAAGCATAGAGAAGAAAATTAATAAAGACTCGGTCAAATAAAACACGCCTCAGATCACCCTTTAGTCCACTTACCTGACGACGGTTACGCGAATCTCTGCTAATATTAACGACAGACTCGCCGTCACACCGTAACAACATCACCGCCATCAAAAGTAATCTTATTTCTCTTTACGTGTTTCATTTGTCATATTTTCAAAGATCCTCGCTATGTTGACTTCTAAAAATACGAAACGTTAGTGCGTATCAGAGCAACAATGCCGAATGAGTAAGTATTGTACTTTACCAGTGGTAATTTCAATATTATCTCCATTATCTGCTTTCGGAACGACATGAGATTGAACATTGCGCGTGTGAAATAGTCTTTACATCCATTGACCAGGCTCGTGATTTTTATAAATAATTATTAACGTAACTTATACGTATATTACGTGGCGAACGAGTTCAATTCTGTAAAATAGTAATTAAACTCATGTCAGTTACGTTATCATATGTAACCAGTCATGATTGTGCGTTGATTCTTTTTCTAAGATGTCATAATTACACCACAAGAGAACATGTGATCCTTTTAACTGTAAAATGTAAACAGAAATTCATACCAGAAGACTCGGAAATTAACGTGAAATTTACGTAACTGAAAAGGGAAATAACGTACCAGAAAAAGTGTAACGAATAATTTTGTCAAAACTTTTGAGCACAATGGAATTTACTACGCATTATGCGTGTATCCCACGTTCTTTAATGAAGTCTTGTGTGTCATATCTTTTATAACTATTACATAAACGACAAGGTATTACGTGATAATTATTAGGGATAAAAGGGAAGAACGAAAATGTATGGTGTACATAAGAAACGTTCTTGACGTTGACAATTTAAATTACTTATATTTTCGGTGATTCCTTGAACGTTGGAACGAAAGGTTATGATTTCATTTCGAAAAATCAGAATGCCGATTGCTCGCTCTTTATTCATGGGTCTATTATTAAGATATACAGTAACAACAGTTTACCAGTAGGGTTCATTTAAAAAAACAACCTGACTAGAAAATTGAAAAAAAAGCTGCAAGGCTTACGAAAGAACCCCACTGCGATCTTGAATTAAGAACCGAGTATGAAGATTAATTATATTATTATTATTAACACACTGTATAAGGCTAAATGTAATTTTATAAAACAGTAATATACAGTATTAAAAAAAAAATTATTTATTTATTTTTTGTTTATAATAAACAAATTTATTTCTTACTATAAATTGCATTATATCCAATCATTTTTGACGAGTTTCACTAGCTCGGATCAATTCTCGCGTAACGATGGGATAAAGAAGGTAGACTTTAACTTATTAAGTTTTAAGGCATTGTCAGAGAATAAAATTATGACGCGACGACAGTCATGTGACTAACTGTCGTAATCGTGCCGCGAAGGACCCGTTTCTATCATGGTACTTGAGGTGGTATGACAAAAAGGATGTAAGCGAAACGTGATGGGAAATGGTCAAAATACAGTAATAGTAGAATGGCGCATTAGGAAATTATGTAATGAGGGAAGGATCGTGAAAAAACGATTAAGTAGTATAGATCATTGTGATCGAGCATTATGTAATGAGAGAGGAACATGAGGAGACATTGGATAATCGAATGTCGCCATATATTTTAGAATGTAAAAGTCGTCCCAACTAAAATGTATAAAAAAATGAAAGCAAAAGTAAATAAAGAAACAGTGAATTATCTTTTACTCGGCCAAATCGAACACGCCTAAATTACATCAAATTCCTTACCTTACGCTATACTCTGCCCCACTTTAGCAACAGACTCGCCGATCGACCATCACAGCATGTATTTGATTTAGCAGAGTTTCTTTATTAATCTTGCTCTACTACATCTTAACTGCAATTTTACTGGCAACATTCCTAAGTTAAAATCGGTTTTTGAAATATAAACTAAAATAACTATAACTCCTGCTACATTGGTGATAAAAATTACTCTGCAATTTTATTTTGATTATCTCGACCAACAAGTGGCTAACCCAATTTAATCTGATTATAATGTAGTACTATTTTTTGAAATAAAAAATTAGATATACATAAAAATTCGAATCATTCTCTTGAATTAATGTGGCAAAAACCGCATGCTTATAGTTATATAAATTGAATTATATGAATATTTACGGAGAATACTCTAAGTATCATCTTTTAATATCATTTCAAGTTGTTGACTGTCTATAATATATAAATTAGGTTAAAAGATGATGGCAAAAAGAAGAATAAAAGAAAGAAAATAAGTAGATAATAATACATATTATTTACCTTGCCAATATAATTTGGTGTGAGTAATGAATTCACTTGTATAAATTGTTTTGGGGTATGTTTGTACATTAGAAATTTTCATATTTATCGACATTTCATCATAATTTGTTAATTCTGTCAAAACTATCGAATCATTTTGCCATTCTGTAAAAATTCTGTAAATTTCTTCAGCAGGTGGACGATTCTTTGGATTTCCATCCCAACATCTTGTCATAAGGTCTATATAACATTCTGGTGTACCTTCAATAACAGTTGGTCGATGGCCTTCGCATATTTGAATTTGATATTGAAGACTAGATTCGTGGTTAAAAGGAACGGCTTTTCCGGAAGAAATTTCCCACATAATTATGCCAAATGAGTAAATATCTGATGCTAAGGTATAAGAGTCGCCACGGAGAACTTCTGGTGCTATGTATGGTAAAATTCCATAAACACCTTTGGATTTCGTGTCAGTCGACATCGAAAGACCTAAATCTGCGATATATGCGCTATATAAATTACCATCTAATAGTATATTACCACTATGTAAATCTCTGTGAATATGATTTCGTGAATGAATTATTTGAAGGTCAGAAGCAATACATATTAACAATTTTAACTTAACTTCCCATTTAGTTTGTTTCATTAAATGAAGATTATCACGCAAGGACCCCATTGTTGCATATTCCATAACGAGAAAGTAATCTTTTGAAGCATCATCTTTTGATATTCCGTAGAATTTTATGAATGTAGGGTTTTTATAACCAATAATGCAGTATGCCTTTAGCTTCGTGTAAGGAAAAGATTAGGAAGAATTTAGATACTAAATTATTGATTATCGAAGTTAAAATTACCTCTTTTACAAACTCCTTGTGTCTATTTCTTGATCCATGAAGCAACTTAAGTGCAACATGCCTATCATTCCAGTAGGCACGGAACACAGTGGCAAATCCTCCTTGTCCTATCTTCTCAATGTCTTTAAATTCATTATAAGGAACCCAATGTAAAAGATACTCGCTTTCGTCAAGCATTTTAAGTTCATTATCAATGTCTGAGTTTTCAAGCAGCGATTCATTTAAAACTAAAGGCTTAAATTATTAGACTTTGAATAAATAATAAATAATATATTATTATTATTATATTTACCTAATAATTGGTTTCTTTCCCTAGTTACAGTATTTACATTATTCACTAATAATAACCAAAATAAAAAGTAAAATAAAATTACTTACCTTTGATACCAATAAACGGCCATTTGTAAATTTCTTGTCACTCCAGTTCCATTTCTGTAACACCAAGCAAGTGCTGATACCCCAAAATTGTTTCCCATCTCGACAGATTTTTGAAAATATTTAAATGCCTTATATTCATCCTTTTCAACTCCGATTCCATTTTGATAACAATAGCCAACATTATATGTTCCCGATGCATGACCCATCTCTGCTGATTTTTGATAATATTCGAATTCCTTATGTTCGTCCTTTTTAACTCCAATTCCATTTTTATAACAACAACCAACAGCAAATGTTCCGGATGCATTACCCATCTTGGCTGATTTTTATAATATTCAAATGCCTTATGTTTATTCATTTCAACTCCAATTCCATTTTGAT